ATTAAATTTTTTTGAATGTTGTGTAATCTATTGTAATAGGAAAAATTCCATGTTGACTTTTCCTTCTGTACTTCTGGTTTTTGTATGCTTATTTCTCTAAAAACTATTTTTATGATTTTCTTTTTTCTGATAGTGTACTTTTAAAAGTCATGTTGGTACATGCTTCTGCATTCATGAAATATCTCAAGCTATATTTGTCTTCCCCAAAACTTGAACGTGGCAATCCTAAACCCTCTTTTCCCAGAGTAGATGGCATCTAGAGGTAGGGCTGTTAGGATGTGACTACTTAGGACAGAGCCTTCAGGATGAATGAATAGGATCAGTGGATTTATAAAAGAGCTCCTTCCTCCTTCCACTCTTCAAGGAGCAATGAGAAGAGAAAAAGCCCTCACTGGCAGAATCTGCTAGCCTTGGTGAAAGATCCCAGCCTCCAGCCTCCAGAATTGGGAACTGGAAGGGAGGGGATTCTACTGTTGTAAGTTGCTCCCTTACCCCTTATATGGTGATTCGTGGTAGCATCCTTAATAATGTCCCACAACTTTAACTTTTTAGCTTAGTTTTCTTTTTGGCAGAAGTTTGGTGCTGAGATTGCTTTGTTTCCTCCAGACTGCAGTAGACTTGACTGGTTTTCTGCTCTCTGAGTGTGTCAGGAGCTCTTCTGTCTCTCATATTTTGTGTGCCCAGCTTCCTGTCTATGTGTTCTCTCACAGTACAGACCACATTCTTATTTGATTTTTCTAAACCTGCACCAAATATGTTGACCTTTTATCAACTTTTAAAGTGCACAGTGTAGCAGGTTCTGCCACAGTGGTTCATTCCATGTCCATGTTGAAAACTGTTCCCTATTTCCTTTTCTTTTCATCTATCTATCTATCTATCTATCTATCTATCTATCTATCTATCTATCTATCTATCTATCTATCTATCTATCTATCTATCCATCCATCCATCCATCTATCTATCTATCTATCTATCTATCTATCTATCTATCTATCTATCTATCTATCTATTTTATTGTGAAAATACCGTACAGAGGAGTTACAATTACATGGGGAAGATAACGAGTTCATTTCTTATCAAGCAGTGTTGCCTCCTCCTTGTTTCCCCTTCCCATCCCTTCCCATATTCCCCCTACCTCCCCCTCACCCAGTCCTCTCCCCCCACCCGGTCACCCCCCCCACACCAAAGTTATAAAGTTCGTTTTTCAACATAACGATTTGTACATCTCATTGTTGCAATGGATCCGCCTGTATCCCTAGTTAAACGATTTGTTTTTGCCCTTCCCCTCCACAAATTATACGACATCAAATACAGTGAAAGCATGGGTTATACCGTGGGGGAGGGATCAACATAGAAATCATCTTATAAATATGTTAGAAACAATTGCATGAAAGAAAAAAAACATTTGAATATTTATGTTGTGGTTCATTCCCCTAACATCACCTTATCTGACCTTTTCTGCTTGTCTCAGACATATACTAGTTATTGCAAATAAGGGAAACCATGGGACCTATGTTTCTTTAGGCCTGGCTTACTTCACTTAATATAATTTTTTCCAAGTCTTTCCATTTCCTAACAAATGGGACAATGCCATTCTTTCTGATGGAGGCATATACTTACTTTTCTAAAAAAGATCTATCCCAAACTCTCAAAAAAGCCTACTTTCAATTATTTCAGTACATATACATGGAACATATTATAAGGAAGTTTCTATTTCCATGACTTCACCAGTTGTTTTAACAAGCTGAGAACAATTGAAGTTTGCATCGCTGTCAGCTGCTGTTTGGATATTTCAACCCTTTTCAAAGTCTGTTTACTTCCATGTGAACTTTCATGACTTGTTATTTTTTTCTGTCATTTAAATTTGTCAGGGTCAGTGATTCCAAAACTACCAATTAACGAACACGACTTCTCAAGTAAGTCACTTAATTTGTGAGCAAAATATTAGATACTTTAATAGAGAACTATGTCATTAAAATTCTTTTCATTATTATCAAAGGAACAGTTAATTACCAAGAAGTAATATCGGTAGCCTAGTTCTTTTAGTCCTTCCTTGTCCAGGAAGAAAAACAACATTCCATTATAATATACTTTTAGTATTTCTTGGTTTATCCATTTGAGATTTTTTATCTGTGGACATCAAAAATAGAAATAATGGAGGTAAGTCTTGCTTATTAGTTCTACATCCTGGCCTTCTCAAAGGAGACTGGTACATAGTCTCTTGCTATTAACCTTTATAGCAGAGTGACTAATAATATTATTCATTTGCTGATATATAAATGATGCTTTTCTTCCTCTAAGATTTCAAGATCGTATTTTTAAAATATATTGAATTGTGATGCAATCGAAGCTTCTGTCAAAACAAGAAGGTCTGAATATTCTAACAGTTTCATTGTTCATCAATTTCTATTTTCCTTAGCTGACTTTCTTCCTACATCTTGTGTGTGCATGTGTGTGTGTATGTGTGTGTTTATGTGTGTGTGTGTGTGTCAGTGGGGTTTGAATTCAGGGCCTTGTGACTGTTAGGCAAGTACTACACAATGTAAGTCATGCTCCTAGGTCTTTTTTGGCTGTTGCTACTTTTTCAACTATGGTCTTTTGTGTTTTCCTATACCTCCTTACAGCTTGGATGAAAGACTTATACCACCCAGTGGGCTTATTGATTGAAATGGGGTCCTTGTTGACTTTGGCTTGGGCTAGCATTGGACCAGCACTTAGAAATGTGAACCACGTCAATATTAACTACTTTATTTGATCTAGTAAATTCCTGAAATGACCACACATCTTTTTTCTGAGATTTCTCTTTCCCTTTACTTGTGCTAAATTTCTTGTATGTCTCTGCTTTGTTGAATGTATTTCCAAGTGACTTCTTATAAAAGAGTGAAGGGATGTGGTTGAGAGGGTTGGGGGAGAATTTTGAAAGGGATAACATTGGTCAAGATGCATTATGTTCATTAACTGCTTTGTTGTGACAACTTCTTTGTATAACTTAAAGATAACAATAGTAATAAGAAGAAGAAGGAGGAGGAGGAGAAGGAGGAGAAGGCGGCATAGAAAGTCAAATTTTTGGAATTGTTGAGTATTTGAATATGCTTTTATCTTTTCCACCAACTTTCCTGAGTTTTCCTGAGTATACGGAATCTTAGGTAGTCCATAGGACCACCTATGTAATATATACCCAGTGAAAATAATACCACCAATCTCTAAGCAAGCCTTCCAAGTGTCAGGCACCATTTGATTCAGAACTCACATGCCCATGGAAGTGTCCCTAATGTGCTCTATCACTGGCCCATCTTACTTCTGGGAAAATGACCTTTTCTCTGATAATCTCTCCATCTCCCCAATGTTCCCTTTGCATTGAACTCCAGTGAGCTGCATATTAGACCTCCTGAACTTTCTAAATTTGTTAACTTTTTATGACTGTCATATCCACCTAGTTTTCTTTTTGGTCTCCTTTCTGGCAGAGTAGCCAAACATTTCCTTCTTCAATGGAGATTTTCGTGTAAACTCTTGGTGTTAAATTCCAGAATGTCTTTCATCCCTATTTCTTCCATTTACAAAGTGATGGCATTATATTATTGCTTTTTGCATCTGTTCATGTTTTTCTTTGCCTTCTGTATTTTTCCATGTCTTTCACATTTCTGTAATATGTTTGTTGGGATTTTTTTGTGACTTGAATGTTGGAGCTTTTCTCCTTGGCTACCCACTGACAATTACAGTTGAGATTTTTTGAACAGTGTTATCCCTCATTTCTTTAAAAGGTTTTCTTTTTGACACTTAAACAATTATAGTCTTCACACTACACACTAAACTTTGATCCCTTATTTTATTATGTTCTCTGAAGAAGCAGAACAACAATGGATGAAATTCTTTTTTTTTCTTTTCTTTCTTTCCTTTTTCCTTTTTTGCTGGTTCTGAGTCTTGAAATAAGGGTTTGGGTACCATCACTGAATTTCTTTTGTTCAAGGTTAGCGCTCTACCACTTGAGCCACAACTCTACTTCTGGCTTTTCTTTTTTTTAAAGTAGTTTATGAAAATAAGAGTCTCATGGACTTTCCTGCACAGGCTTGCTTCAAATTTCAGTCCTCAGATCTCAGGTTCCTGAGTAGCTAGGATTACAGTCATGGGCCACCAGTGCCTGGCTAGACTAAATTCAAATGTACTCCTATGGAATATACTTTTATGAAGCAATCCTATGTATATATGTATATATATATATATATATATACTCCTATGAAAATATTTCAAATATATTCTTTTTAGTTTTTAAAAGACTATTCTTGATATATGTGCTTACATTATATATAATATATAAATATTATCTATACCTTTACCACTGAATAGCGTTAAGTGAATAAGTGAGGCCCAGAAAGACAGAAAACAGCTTTTTTCTCATATCTGGAAGCTAGATCTAATTTATAAATATACAAATAAACACATATGAACTTACATGCAAGTGTACATACATATGTTAATCAAAGTGTGATATTTGCAGGGGAGACTTCAAATGGTGTAATTCCTCAGAAAAACAAACCCATGGTCCAACAAGATGAATACCAGGAAACTAGTACTTGAATGGTGTGCAGGAAGCAGGAGTTTAGGAAAATGGGGGACTGATGAAGAGAGGAAAGGGAGGAGAATGCCATCATAATATCCAATGTATATGCTATGAAATTAAGAAAATTGTGGGGATGGGTTGGGTTGGGAGTGATGGTCAGCGGGAAATGCTAAAAGGGGTGGCATTGATCAAAATGCATTGCATTTACAAGCTGGTATGTTGAATAGTAGCCTTTTGGTACAGCTTCTTAAAGATAATAAAAACATAATTTCAAAATGTCTTACTTATACAGTGTTTTACTTATACAAAAACTGAATATTTCAATTCAGCTATATGGAACTATGTCACATATTGGCCCAGTTTCATACTTAATGCTGTACTATTTTCCACAGTTATAATATAATTAATAGATTTTTCTCTTTGGCTCATTTTTTTGAAACAGACTAAGATGCCTAGTGAAACAGCTGGAGAGAGGTGATGTCAACATCGTAGACCTGAAGAAGAATATTGAATATGCAGCATCAGTGCTGGAAGCTGTCTACATCGATGAGACAAGGTGCAGTTTCATTTCCACTCCACTTTATCCTTGTTGTTTCTGTCCTCTTTCTCACACAGGAAGTTAATTAGTACAGAAACAAAATTTTTAAAAAATCAAAATTTGAAAGGATCCTTTTCATGCAACTAATTAATTGAGCTATGATTTTATATAAATATATATATAAATAGATACATATATACACACTTTACTCTGAATAGTGAAATATAATAGTCCAACAGTAATGTTATAAAATGAAAAAATAATTTAAATGTCTTCTCCTGTGTAACCATCCTTCAGCTCACACTTGTATCAGGGGTATGTGTAAGCTTACAGTTTTTTGCAAAGATCCTTCTGAGAAAATTGGGTATTATGTGCCCGTACAACTTCATAAAACTCTGTATGGACAGATTGCTAAAAGACATTCCCTAAAATGTTGTCCTTCAAACACAGCCTCAGTCAGCAGAGGAATAAGAAGGTAAGAAATGGAGACTTGTTTGAAAAGGATTGTTAATCTGATACTGTGGCTCCCAGACAAACCACCAACACTTAATGGGATGTTTGCAAATTCAAGAGACTTGGCCAATGCCTCTTGGCATTTGCAGGGTCCTGAGATTGGTTTCTGGTTTTCACTTAATTAAAGACAAAGGTGACAGCCTATAGAAGTCTACTTGTTGAAATCAGAGCAAAGAGGGAACCTGATGAGGGAGAAATATACACAATCACATGAAGTTGTCAAATTGGTTATTATTGTGTGAATTTTACTAATGAGAACTAAACTTCATTTAAACACCTCTACAGCTTACTAGATAAAACTGTATTATTACTGTTTTTTTCCTATGAGGGAACTAACCCACAGAAACATTACATACATAGCTTACCCAGAAGAATAAATTCAGGAGTGGGAGTAAGGCCTTGAAAATCTAACTACTAAATACAATTCTCATCCTCATTGCTGTTTTTTAAAAATATTTTTTATTGTCAAGGTGATGTACAGAGGGGTTACAGTTACATAATTAAGGTAATAAGTGCATTTCCTGTCAAACTTGTTACCCCCTCTGTCATTTTTCTCCTACTCTCCCTCCCACCCGCCCCTTGGTTTTGTGTATATCACTGTTGCATTGGTTATCCCTTGTCCTCTGATGCTGTTTTAACATAGAACAATCTGGTGGTTTCTGAGTCTCAGTGTGAGTGTGGATGGACACTCACATGTTGCCAGAGTCTTGAGACCCTGGGGTGCATTGATCACGTTTCTCTTTTTTTCCCCAACTCTACCTTCAATGATCATGGTTTGATGTCTTGACATCTGCCACAGGGGAGTATTCACGCCATGGAAAATGTCAAATGCTGTAAATCAGCAGTTCACTTTACTCAGAGACCTGCATTCAGAGAGAAATGTATCATCATGCCACTGATTAACCCAAGGATCACCTCTTAAGAATCTGTAAAGGGCTGGGAAGGTGGCTCAGTGGTAGAGCACTTGCCTTGCATGCCTGAGGCCCTGGGTTCGATTCCTCAGCACCACATAAGCAAAAGAAAAAAGCCGGAAGTGGCGCTGTGGCTCAAGTGGTAGAACGCTAGCCTTGAGCTGAAGAGCTGAGGGACAGCACCCAGGCCCAGAGTTCAGGCCCCACGACCGGACCCCTCCCCCAAAAAAAGAGAATCTGTCAAGAGCTGTGATGTTATGGCAAAAGAACCAACTTAGGAATCTTATTTATTTATTTATTTGTATTTTAAATTATTTTTTATTTCAAGAGTGTGTACAGAGGGGGTTACAGTTACAAAAGTAAGGCAATGAGTACAGTTCTTGTCCAACATTGTTAGCTCCTCCCTCATTTTTTTCCCATCTTTCCCTCCCCTTCCCCTCACTTTCCTTCCTCCCAAGTTGGAAAGTACATTTCCAACATAGTATCTTGTTAGTATCAAAAAACAAAGACATTCTAAACAACAGTACTTAATCTGGCTTGATTTCTTATACATGCAGAATCACAGAGTAGTAAACTGAGGATATTGACTTTTCTTTTGGGGTACTGGGAATTGAACCTAGGACATTGTACTTACTAGACAAGTGTTTTGCCACAGAGCTTCATCCCAGCCCATGTGTATAATTACTAAAGTAGTATTTGTTTAAGGAATATTAGTAACATATAAATTATTTCAAAGAAATAAGGGGCCAGGTGCTGGTGGCTCACGCCTGTAATCCTAGCTATGCAGGAGGCTGAGACCTGAGGATTTCATTTACAGCCAGCCCAGGCAGGAAAATGTTAGACTCTTATCTCCAATAAACCACCAGAAAACTGGAAGTGGTGCTGTGGCTAAGTGGTAGTGCTCTAGCCTTGAGCTGAAGAGCTGAGGGACAACTCTCAGGCCCCACAACTGACCAAAACAAACAAACAAAAAAAGAATCTCAAAGAAATAAGGATCAGGAAGTATCTCATTGTCTTTCAACTTAAATTTTAAAGCCTACTAAAACCTTCTGAAATTAAAAAAAAATTTGGATTACTTTTTTTATTGTCAAGGTGATGTACGGAGGGGTTACAGTTATGTAAGTAAGGTAATAAGTATATTTCTTGTCAAACTTGTTACCCTTTCCCTCATTTTTCTCCTACTTTCTCTCCCTCCCTCCCTTCCCCTTCCTTCCCCAGGTTGTACAGATCATCTAACATATTGTCTTATGTGTATAGCTGTTGCATTGGTTCCCCACTTGTCCTATGTCTCACCATTCTGTTGTTCCCCTTCACTTCCCTAATCCAAGTAAATGTATATACAATACCAGGGTACCAAAATCAAATACAGCGACAACAGGGTATATACCATGGGGAGAAGAACATACAAAAGAAACCAAAAGAAATCAGGTAGTATATTAAAAACAACAACAACATAGAAAAACCTTTTGTGTCCATATCTTGGAGTTCATTGTGCTTAGCATAATCTTAAATGGTGATATATACATAGATATTGAGCTGTTCTTCTCATCTGCTAAGATTATCCTAGACCTATACTAATTATTGCAAATAAGGGAAACCATAGGACCTATGTTGCTTTGGGTCTGCTTACTTCACTTAATATGATTTTTCTAAGTCTTTCCATTTCCTTATAAATGGGGTGGTGCCATTCTTTCTGATGGAAACACAGAATTCCATTATATATACATATATATCACACACATTTTATACACACACACATACACACACACCACATTTTCTTGATTAATTCATCTACTGAGGGGCATCTGGGTTGGTTCCATAGCTATGGTGAATAATGCTGTGATAAACAGTTGTGCTGGTAGCTTTAGTATGGTCTTGTTTGTGATCATTTGGGTAAATGCCCAAAAGTGGGATTGCTGGGTCATAGGGGAGCTCTATGTGGAATCTTTGGAGGAACCTCCATACTACTTTCCACAGTGGTTGAACAAGAAAATTCCATGTGGTAACAGCCAGAAAATAACAAAATTGA